CCTGGTGCCTCTAGAGCCTCCAGCTCCCCCTGGTGCCTCTAGAGCCTCCAGTGCTGCTAAACACCGGAAACACTCTAGGATACACATTCATTCACACGCAGTGACACACACACTAGCACACACACTCACACATTCACACTGATACACATAAACTGACACACATTCACACTGACACACACATGCAGACACACACACACTCCTTCCTCAGGCTCAACAGCTGGAATTAACCTGCACCTCTTCCATATCAAACGCACTGCCACTGCAGTGAACACAAATTCCAGGAAACCCTGTAGCCTCAAAGATCCCTCTGTGAGTTTCGTCAGGACGTGGCGCTCATTAAACAACCACAAGGGACGTCATCGTGAGAGCGGATGTACAAGAACTCGATAGCGCTACGCCTCAGAGCCACCTCGAACCTCGGGCGCACTTCCGCGCCGTGCCCAGCAGGGGGAGACAGAGGCCGCTGGGACCAGCAGCCCTCGGGCTTCCGCGTCGCGTGGAGGTTGGCCGAGAGGAGTTTCGGTTCCTCGGCAGGTAAGAGCGGTTCCCCTGGAGCGGGAACTGAGCGTTAATCTTTATTACTATTGTTGTCCCTGAATGACGTAGTCACTTCTGCGTGTCTTAACGGTCCTTCCCTAATTGTCACCGCAGCTCGTGGGTCTCCAGGGCCGCCTGCGCTCGCGGTGACGTCATCGGCACGGGCGGTCTGGTCTTGACCCGGAAGATCCACAGACCTGCAGCTTTTCTGTTTCTGATCATTTGGCAACAGATTTTGATAATTTGATCAATTCAGCAGAGTCCTGCAGCGACACAGGGGTCACACTAAAAGCTCTCTCTTCTACTGAGCAAACTGCAGTCTGTCTGGACTCTACGGTCAGTCTGTCCTGTCTCTCTCCCAGTCTGATCAGTGAGAATCCCTCCTGTCTCTCTCCCAGTCTGATCCGTCAGGAATCTTCACAGACAGGTCTTCCTCTCCCAGAGTACAGTAACTTGTAAGTCCTCCAGTTTACATCACAAACTAGATTAAATGTCCAGGTGGGTGCAGCTCCATATTGCTGTTACTGTCTGCAGTTCAGAACGAGGCAACAAATCGTCCTGGGATGTGTTGAGGCCCTGTGACACTGTGAACAGGCAGGCTTGTGAGAACCTCTCTTTCAGTCCAATAGAAATACTGCTCTCGACTTCGGGACGGTTGTGCAGATAAACACTTCTTACTTGTGAACTCTGCTTGCAGAGCACGTTGGAACGTTTCTGCAGTGAAACGTCTGAAGCACAGCCTGGCCTTATTCGCTCGTAATTCACGGTACAGTGACTTAAGGAGCAGGAAAGGCCGTGTCATGTCACAGTTTGTGCAACATGACGACCGTCAACCACTCTCACAAAGTTCACGGTTTCGAGCTCATTTCGAAATTTGTCCAGTTCGTCTGTCCTGTCAATGAGCTGGGACTGCAGTTCCCCTTCGCAGCGCCTCACTCCAAACGCCTCGACCGCAGGCCTGCTGACGCCACCAGCTGGCTGCTTCTGGAACTGGCCAGCGGCAGAGCTGGTCGTTTGAACCATTACGGCTGGTGGGGAGACGATCCATCCCAGGTTTTACTAAAACCTCCAGCGCTCTTATGCAAGAGATAAACTGGTTACTGGCCCGTTCAGCATGGCTGCATTGTTTTGAATGATTTTCCATTGTGAGATACAGACTTAAAACACATCTACACCATGTCATCTTTTCTGCAGCTGGTAGCACAACCTGCACTGGATCAGACTGCTGTGCACTGGGAGTCTGACTGACAGCACTGTAAAACCTGGAGTGGATCAATCTGCTATGCACTGGGAGTCTGACTGACAGCACTGTAAAACCTGGAGTGGATCAGACTGCTGTGCACTGGGAGTCTGACTGACAGCACTGTAAAACCTGGAGTGGATCAATCTGCTATGCACTGGGAGTCTGACTGACAGCACTGTAAAACCTGGAGTGGATCAGACTGCTGTGCACTGGGAGTCTGACTGACAGCACTGTAAAACCTGGAGTGGATCAGACTGCTGTGCACTGGGGGTCTGACAGCACTGTAAAACCAGGAGCGGATCAGAAAGGATCAGACTGCTGTGCTGTGTAGTCATTTCTTCCAGTCGCACTGCAGTGTCCCATGAAGACGCTTCCCTCCGCGCGGAGCTTGGTCTGCTGTGTGCGAGCTCAGAAGAACGTGCCGCCCGTAAAACAGGAACGAGCTGCAGGAACAGAAGTCAGCAGGCTGAGGAGAGTAATAACGAGAGCAGCCACAGGGGAGAGGTCAGCCGCTCGCTTAGGAGCTCGGGGGGCGGGGCGGGGTGCATGCAGACTCCCCACAGAAGGTTTCCTTCCGGAGCCTGGAGCCAGACCCGGGACCCCGGAGCAGTGCGGAAGAAAGGGTCTTTACGTCCCGGGGACGCTGGGGGTCAGCCTGAAACAGCCCGCGCCGCCTTATTTGGTCAAAGCCACTCGTCGGTGAGACACCTGGGCGGCGAGCCTTAAGCCGGTCCACCTTAAAAGACAAACTCCGCCCTCGGGGGCGGCGTGGAGGTTTTTTTTCTTCTTTTTGAGCAACAGGGCTGTTTCCTGTAACAGCAGCAGCAGCAACAACAACAGGAAAAAAAAACGGTGAGGTGCAACTTCGCTCTGCCTTTCTGTCTCTCCGCAGCGCGACTCCGCTCCGAGGGCGGACCCAGCGCCCCCCACTCCCCACTCCCCCCTCCGCCGTCTGCGGGCCCGCGACCCTCCACCGCCGCCTCCGGGGCGCCGCTGGCCGAGACCGGAGCCCCAGAGCTCCTCCCCGGGGTGCACCTGCGGCACGGCGCGCTGGGAAACACGGTACCCGCGTCTCCGCCCCTCTCGTGTCCCGACTCTTCCCTGACTTCTCCTCTGGGATACTGCAGTATATTGACCCCAGCGTCTGATGGTGCACTACAGTGTATTTACCACAGTCTCTGGTACTGTACTGCAGTATCTGTTACTGGTGTTACTGGTGTCTGATAGTGTACCTCAGTATGTTTACCACTGTGGTAGTGTACTACAGTATATTTACCACAGTACGTCATGGTTTGCTGCACTATATTCTGCCCTAGAGCCCAAATTCGTTACAATACCATAGTGTGTTATAGTGTACTACTGTGGTATAAACCACAGTTTACCACAGTGTGTCGCAGTGTAGGACAGTGGTGTGGGAGTCTTTACACTCAGGCTGGTGGGGGTGTGGAACGAGCTGCCCAGCTCTGTTGTCGGAGGCGATACCCTGGTGTCTCCCGGGACGCGCCTGGGTGAGCTCCTGCCGAGACGTCTCCAGATGAGCTGCTCGGGGAGGGTGCTCTGCTCTGCGTCTGTCCTGCTCGTGTCCCTGAGACGCCAGGTCGTTATAGTCTTCACGTTTATGCCATCTAGCTCGTTTGGTCGCCGGCGGCTAATTAATTTTGACGAGCTCATCCAGCTGTGCTGCACCTGCACCAGCGGTCTGTGGACTTCAGTGTCCCTGCAGCTGTCGCAGGTCAGAGGTCGCAGGGCACCCTGAAGCCGGGCGTCGCGGGGTACGGGGTCTGGGGCGGCGCAGCGCTGCGGGAGCTCTGGTATGTCCTGTGTGCTGCTGCTTGCCTGCGGGCAGGAGAGGCGTGTCGGAGCGAGAGAGAGGGAGGGACTCTGGAGCACAGCAGACAGACCAGAAGGGCAGCTTTGGGATTGTGTACTCACACTGAGAGAGACAGGAGACAGGAGACAGGAGACAGGAGACAGGAGACAGGAGACAGGAGACAGGAGACAGGAGAGAGGGAGGAGAGACAGGAGAGAGGGGAGAGGGGAGAGGAGAGACATGAGAGAGGAGAGAGAGGGAGAGGAGTGAGGGGAGACAGGAGAGAGGGAGCTGAGAGGAGGAGAGGAGAGAGGAGAGGGGGAGCTGAGAGAGGAGACAGGAGAGGGGGAGACAGGAGAGACAGAGCTGAGAGGAGAGACAGGAGAGGGGGAGACAGGAGAAGGGGAGCTGAGAGGGGAGACAGGAGAGGGGGAGCTGAGAGGAGAGACAGGAGAGGGGGAGCTGAGAGGAGAGACAGGAGAGGGGAGAGAGGAGTGGGGAGAGAGGAGGGGGGGAGGGGAGAGGATTGTGAAATAGGAGAGGGAGAGAAGGGGACAGAGAGAGGGGTAGGTGAGAGAGATAGGGGAAATGTTTCTTGTTTTGTGTTAATTTTATTATTTCTATTTGCTTTGGCAACACTGATTGTCCCCATCAGCCATGCTAATAAAGCACCTTGAAGTGAACTGACAGGAGGGGGAGAGAGGGGTAGGAGAGACAGATAGGAGATTGAATTGAAATTGATAGGAGAGGGGGACAGCGAGAGCAGGGGCGCTGAGAGAGTCTGGGGGGAGAGAGAGGAGCGCCCGGGGCGCCGGACAAGGCGGACCCGCCTGTGACCAGAGAGCAGCTACACTGCTCGAGTCAGCTGTCCGGAAAAAGAGAGCGCCCCCCCTCCCCCCCCCGTCTTAAAACCAGAGGCGCACTTCTGTAGCGCTGGTGTTCGTGTCTCAGGAGCAGCGAGGTGAAGGAAGTCGGCGCCACGGACAGCCCGAGTTCCCGGTGGTCACGGTGAGTAGGGCTCGGTTTCCCTGTGAACTCCCGCCTCCTGCCGCGCTCCCTCCCCGCCCTGGGTGTTTATCGTAGCTGGGGGGGGGCAGTCCCCGCGTTTACTGGAGTTTTCTGCGTCCCTCCGCTGCGCCGCCGGGGCGATGCGGCGGACCCGGAGCGTCGCTTTAAAAATAACTGGTGCGTGTGAAAGAGAGACGGAGGAAACGCGAGAGATAACGAGTCCTTCTCGAAAGTCTGTGAGCCCGTGGATGTTGAGTAATTGTTTGAGCTCCGGCAGCGCTGTACTTGATCGGTCACGACGATGGGAAACAAGCTCTCTGGAAGAGAGAGCACAGCGCCCCTTTCCGAAAGCAGCCCGGCCCTCGGCCGTGTAAACATCTGGCCGCTGCGCCTTGTCTCCGTTCACTCGCTCAGGTTGGAGCCTTCGCGACGCGTCCCGCGTGGGAAATCCACCTCCGGCCCCTCGGCGCTCCCGGCGGCTCCCACGTGCCTTCGCCGCTCTCCGCGGCGCGGCGCGGGTCGTTCGGCCGTTGTGGGGCGCCGTGGAACCCTGTTCCCACACAGGGCGCACGCGCTGAGAAACAGCCCCTCGGGGGCCCGGCCGCGCCCGCGCCCGGCCACCAGGGATCACAGCTGGAATTCAAAGGCATTCCAGGGGCGGCGCTAGGCTGGCTGAGGCTGTCCCGTGTGGAAGACCGCGCCCGTCGAGCCCGCTTACAGACTTAACAGCACGGTAAAAGCACAGTGCAGTACAGCCCAGTGAGATCAGGGTAAAAACACAGTACAGTGCAGTAGAGCCTAGTGAGATTAGGGTAAAAGCACAGTACAGTGCAGTACAGCCCAGTGAGATC